TACTAACAATTTAAATTATGTTTTTTTCTAGATTATCAATTTAAATGTTTTTCAAATATTTAATAATATGTAATAGTTTTAAATATAAAATTCAAATAAAAAATTAAAATATTTTATAAATTATTTAAATATTTAAATAACTAAATATTTATCATAACTAGATTTTAAATAGTTAATAATAATTTAATATATTACAAAATTAATAAAGAAATTATGTAATAATAGTACAAATTATGATTTTATGGATAATTAAATTCAATAAATAGTAATAATTAAAAAATTAAATATTTTACATATTATTTAAGTGGCTAAATAACTAAATGCTTTAAATAACAAAATATTTGACATAACTAGATTTTAAATAGTTAAAATAAAGAAATTATGTAATAAATTTAAAAAATCTCTAAAAAGTGGAAAATTAATTATAACATAATATTGAAATTAATAATAATTTAAAATTTTTACACAATATTGTAAATAATTAATTTCAATTATATTAAGTAATAATTTGAGAATCCTAAAATTAATATTTATTGTATTTCAGTTATTATTTATTGTTTTTTGTGGTAAAAGTATTTTCAATAATTATGTATAAATTATTGTTTATGTTATTTAACAAAAACTTTCAATAACTATTGTAGATTAAATTACTATTATTGAAATTTTTAAATTTAATTTAGTGTACTTTTTGTATTTATTGTATTTTTGTTATAATTTATTGATTAATATTTATTAGAGATTAAACTATTATTTGAAATTATACTATTTATTGACTAAGTCAATACATTTTTAGTACTTATTGTATTTTTGTAATTTCTATAATCATTGTATTTTTTATTATCAATATATTTTCAATAATTATGTGTTTTCGCTATAAATTTTCAATACTTATTGGAGGTTAAACTATTGTTATTTATTAGAGATGAGACTATTAATTTAGATGAAATTATGAGTGTTCATGAGTTGGTTCGATTCGGTTATAGGCTATTTGTCCAACCAAATTGACTTGGTCAGGTTAGGGAGTTGGTCAACTGAAACCGACTAACCTTTTGTGAAAACTGACCCACTCAAGTTGTATCAGTTTGGGTCAATTTTTTGGTTTGGTTAGTCGGTTCAAAAGATTTAAACTTAAAAATTAAATTAAATTTTAAAAATTACAATGCAATTATTAAAAAATAAATTTAAAAATTAGATTTATGATATAAACATTTTAGACTAAGAAATATGAGGAATTTTTCACTTTTCCATATTAAAATTATATTTAAAATATAAAATACTAATATATATATATATATATATATATATATATATATATATCCATGGTTAGGTCGTTCGACTTCGGTTGGTTTACAAATGGCCAAAGTGAAACTGATCCAACTTGGTCGAATTAGGAATTTTTTGAACCAAAGCCAACCTAAAATACTAGAAAACCGGCTAACTCAGGTTGAGTTAGTCGGGTTGGTCGATTTCATAAGTTTGATGAATAATCCTAACTGAAATTAATTATTGTTATTATTGTATTATAATTTTTTTTAAAAGTAGTTTACAAAATATGAATAATTATTAATTATTGAAAAAATTGAAAATATAAAACAATTGTATACTCTTATGTGTTTCTATTAGTGGCATTTACTATAACACACTTTTAGGGATGACAATTTTCCCCATCTCCGACGGGGACATGACTTTCCCGACCCGATGGGGCGAGGGATGGGGTTTGTCTAGGCAGGGTAGGGGTGGGGACAGGGATTAATAGGAATCCCCGATCGGGGTTGGGGATAGGGATTGAGATCCCCACCTTGCCTCGACCCTAATTATATATATATTAATGTTATTTATATTAAATATACTATTATATTATTTATACTATATATATATATATATATATATATATATATATATATATGAAAACATATATAAAACATTATTTATAATTTATAATTTATTTTTATTTTAAATAAACTTATTTAAAAAACTATTATATGAAATCATTTTGGGGATTCAGGTCCCCANACATATTTAAAACATTATTTATAATTTATAATTTATTTTTATTTTAAATAAACTTATTTAAAAAACTATTATATGAAATCATTTTGGGGATTCAGGTCCCCACGGAGAACCCATCCTCGTTGGGGATCAAGGATGGGGGTTAATTTTAGAATCGGGGTTGGGGACGAAGAATATGATCCCCACTCCATTGCCATTCCTACACACCTTATAGTTTTACATATTTACTTAAACCAACATTATAGTTTTCATTTTACTAAAACATCTCATATATTTTATAACTTATTTACTTAATTAACTTTTTATTAAGGAGTGTTTGTTTGGGCATTAAGCCCATGATTTTTTATTTCAAAAATACCCTTAACACTTTTTTTTGTATAGAAAATAAAATTGACTAAATATAGTCAATAGAGTGGTTGTTCATGTCTTATTAAGGGAAAAAATGTACTTTTATTTTTATTTTCTTTTGATTAAATATATTTAAATGAACATTAGGGTCAACATTGTCATTTTTCACTGTCATCTAATGGAAGATTAATTAAATCCATTACAAATTATAAATAGTATTTTAATAAAATGCTAAATATATGATAAATTTTAGTAAATCCATGAAACTATAAAGAATATTTTAGTAAATGATCATTTTCTATTATTTAGCTTTCACTTAATAAATTCCATGCATCACACGGTCCTGACTAGTATAGAATGATCAATGGCGTGAATTTCCCACCAGCCGACCTTCGGGTGACAATATTTCAAGTCATTTGCCAAATATGGACCCAATAAAAGTCAAAGTCGTCGCACATGCTGGTGGTCTCATCCATCATAAATATTTGGCCAGTGGTTGTCAGAGAGAGGGCCAGCCCTTGTGCACATGGAATCGGCATGAATGATATCGATCAATTAGTAGTACAGAACTACAATTAACCCCCTTCCCCAAATTTTGGTGGTACAGCAGGATTTGAATACTCTCTCGTCTTTGTGAGAACGAACCAACTAACATACCAATTGAGCCACTCCTTTATTAGCGTATTGGTCAATTGCTAAATCTCTAATAAGAGTGTACCTTCCCTTCAAGTATGTAATTGAAGATTTGCCTTATTGTGGACTTAGCAATGGCTCCCATGCCTAATAGGTAATCCATAGATCCCTACACCCTATGGTAGAAACCGCATCAGTACATTCCAACTGTGTATTAGGAACATCTTGTGGGGAGATGTTTCCAGTACATGCTGAGATGTGCCTGTTGAATGCTGATGTGATCTCCCTATTATATGTGCCATTCCACCATTTGTTGGCAATGTAGAGGTCAAAAAAATAAAAAAAAAGATAACGATAACGTGAGATGCTAAGTTGACATCTTTGATATGATTGGTGATGAGAATAAGTGGTCAGCATTCCACCTTAGAAATCTAAATGAAATTGCAGCTCCCTAAACCACTTCCTATCTATGAATTTGGCATCAATCCATAGGTATGATTCATCAGACCTATATGGTGGGTAGACCTGTTCATGGGCCGGGCCGGGCCGGGCTTTCACTTGTCACTAATGAAAATATATTAGGCCCAAGCCCGAGCCCGGCCCAACCAAGCCCGAGCCCAGCCTTGGTAAAAAGCTCGAAGCCCGACCTAATTGAAAAAAAAAACAATTTTCCCTATTCAAATTAGAATTAAAAATTCAGATAGTATTTTTTTTCTATTTAAATGAACAATGGGCTTACAAGATGGTGTTTTTCCCTTTCTTTTATATTTTAAAACACAATTTTACATTCTTAAATCAAAAAATTTATTCAAATAGACATAATCACATAACTAATTTTAAGTTTAATATTAGGTCGGGCTGGGCTATTTTGACAAAACCCGAGCCCGACTCTATTTTATTGCGGGCTGGGCTTTTTGGCCCGAATATAAGCCCGCGGGCCTATAAGAATGTCCAAGCCCGTCCGGGGGCCGGGCCGGCCCATGAATAGGTCTAATGGTGGGAGTCAAATTTTTGAGGTGGATTGAATTATAAAAACCCCTTCTCTTAAACTCACCATAATTTTTCAAAATGTCAAGGAACCCCATGTGAATAAGTTGACATTAAATAGACTAACAGATGTTGCTAAGTTACTATTTTATCCTTTTTTCTTTGTTCTGTTGTAAATGTAAAATAAAGCAAAACTTCGATAAAAAAACAACAAAAGTATATCTCATGCTTCATACCTACTTGCATAGCACGACTGCCATTTTATCCTTTTTAATTTCAAATGCAACTAGAACCGAGATAAAAAAGATCTATGGTCAAAAAGAGGACACGTGGCTCTGTAAGATCCGATGTGCACTTTTATCATATGTCAGAACAAGGGTGTATTTAATAAAAATTAGGCTGGCATAAAAATATGCTTAATAAGGCTGACATGCCATTTAGGGGCAGTTGGTCATAAAAATTGCAATTATGTTGACATGGAGATCTTATGTCAATGAACACTAACGATGTTCTAACTGATAATGTGTTTTGGTCAAGAAGAGGACACGTGGCTCTATAAGATTAAATGTGCAATTGATTATAAAAATTGCATTTATGCTGACATGGACATCTTCCTAAATGAATACTAAGGGTGCTCTAACTCTAACGGATAGTGGGTTTTGGAAAACAAAAAGTCATGGACATAAGGTTCTGTGATGTTTCGAAAAGTTATGATGAGTTTAAGAGAAATGGTGAAAATGCATTTTGATGTTTGGATTGACCGAGGACAATACTATCAATTCGCTCCAAAGCCCGAATAAGACTAAGGCACCCGAGGTTTGAAGCCTGAGATGGCCGAGGACTAATGACCGAGGTGGTGAAGATCCGAAGTCCGTAATGTCTAGCATCCAAGGTAGCTGAGAACCAAGGGGTCAGTTTTGCAATAAGAAAGGAGGCCTTGGGTGAAGACCCGAGGCGGGGACTCCAACGGTCAAGTAGTGCCGAGGTATGGAATGGACGAGGTTTGAGGTGCAAGCACCCAGATGAGGTCAGTAGAGAGCAATAGATCTCAAAGGTTAGTGGGAGAGCTCAAGTATTCAATTTTTACATGGAGGGAGGTCGCCTCATATTTTTACTTGGAACTGCTTGGAGGTAGGTGAGCTTGGACGGTGGAGATTGAATCCTTACATGGGGAGCGTGACCATCCTAGGCCGCCAAGTGACCCTGAAAACTCTTTCCATATCATATCTTTACCGTAAGATAGATTTTTCCATAAATAGTATGCTATTTTATAAATGACCTGAAAACAAGTTGAATCGATGTTAAAGTTCACGTATTTTAAAGGTACCATCCCGTTGTTTGTAAGTGTATTCCCTGCATTCTTTAAGTTGTCGAGAGGAGTTTAATTTGGATAAAAGATGTGGTCAGTTGGAATACCGTTACATTACACATTGGATATATAGATGGAGAAACCCCAAATGCAATGGAAGACTCCCTCCAGGTTCCATGGGGCTGCCACTACTTGGGGAGAACCTTCAGTTTTTCACATCCTACAACTCCTTTGGTATTCCACCTTTCATTGAGAAACGAATGCAACGGTATTCCAATCTCTCTCTCTCTCTCTCTATATATATATGCGTGTGTTTGTTGATATATATGCATGAATGAAAGTTGCAGAGTCGTCGTCACTCATTTGATTTTCTGATAATGCATGATTCTTTTAATTTACAGATACGGGCCATTGTTCAAAACTAGTTTGCTGGGTCAGCGAGTTGTAATATCGACAGACCCAGAGTTCAACCATTACATCTTACAACAAGAGGGAAAATTGGTTGAATTATGGTATATGGATTCCTTCATGGAGCTTATTGGGCAACAAGTTTCATCAAACACTGTCCACAGGCACGTTAAGAGCATCGTTATGAATGACTTTGGTGTGGAAAGCCTTAAAGGGACGACGATCCTTGATGTAGAACAAATGGTGCGTCAAACACTACTCTCCTGGTCCAGAATGGAAACCATTGAAGTGAGAATGGCGACTCAGAATGTACGTACGCATTCTCTTTTCTCACATCTATCTCTATTTTAATATTAGATATAACTAGAGCCGTCGAACACGCCACACTCCCCTCTCTCTCTCTTTTTTTTTTTTTTTTTTTCTTTTCTTTTGAAACTGATGGTGTGCAGACCGCCATCCCCTATCAAAATCAATTAAATCGCTTCATTCCCTCTTTTATTTTATATTCTTTCCCTCTATTTTCTCTTCTCCTCTCTCCCAAGTCCCACCCCCCCTCAGCACTGGCACACAGCCAGAATCTCACCGCTGTCGAAAACAACTCTACAACCACCGCCGCTGCAACCCTTGCATCCCCATCTCCGACAGTCGAGGGAGGAGAAAAGAAGAGAGAGGGGATGCAAGGGTTGCTCCAACGGCGGTTATCCGCGCGTGCTGTGTGCCGGTGAGGGTGAAAGGGCGGTGGGAAGAGAATAGAGTGTTCATTGTATTTGATTAAATTTTGCAGTCCAAAGTCAAATGAATGTGACGTGTTTATTGAAAACTTTGGAAAGATCTCTCTCTTTCTCTCTATATATAATGTAAATTTCAGTTCATTAATTAATGCAATATTTCTATTTAATACAAGATTTTTAAAATCTATCTGCATAACAAACCGGTCAGAGGTCCGGTTTCCGGGTTGAATGGTAGATTGTTTGAACGGAATGATTGGCTTGTTCTGACAAAAAATAAAAAAAGATCAAAACAGTTGAACGATTCAACTGCCCAAGTCAGCCATTTATTAATCAAATCAATGTTTTTTTAACAAAATCTAGTTTTAATGAAAAATCAAACCGATCATCTAACTGATTTTCTGTTTTTCCAGTCTAACCGTCCAATCCAGTCCAATTTTGAAAACCATGATTTCATATGGCTTGAGAGCCCAATTGATCTAGAGGCGCTAGCTTCAACGTGATTACAATTCATTCATCTTGTGCATGTGCAGATGGCATTTGAGTTGGGTGCCAAGAAGTTGATTAGCTATGATTCAACCAAGTCCGCAGTCAAATATATATATATATATATATATATATATATATATATATATATTGCTGCTGCTTATTTACAGAGAGTAGTAGTCTAATTATATTAATTAATGGCCGGTCGGCCGCAGTTGATCATTCATGGCTAGCTCCTCTTATATATTTCTTGTTCAGGCAAGGAAGAGTGTTATAAAAATGCTGAGGGATATGTTAAAAGAGAGACGAGCTTCATCGATATCTAAGAAGAGTAGTGATGATTTCCTTGATCATGTCATCCAAGAAATGGAGAAAGAAGGGACCTTCTTTACCGAGGAAGCTTCTGTTCAGCTCATATTTGCACTTATATTTGCCACCTTCGAGACCACTTCCATGGCACTCATTTTGGCTATTAAATTTCTTACCGACAACCCTGCAGTGCTCAATGAATTAACGGTTGGTGCATGCTCCTACTTTAATTTATTAACAACCTATATATCTGCCTTTCATTAGTTATGTATAAGGTTTTTAAAATCGAATCGAACAATGAACCCAACAAGGGTCTGGTTCCTAGGTTGCAGTCCGACCATTCAAACTGAACAGATGGCTCGTTCTGACAAAAAAGAAAAAAAAATAGTCAAAATCATTGGACAATTCAAACAGTTCAAACAGTTTGAACGGTTTGACTGCCTGGGCCAGTGATTTTCTGACCAAATCAACGGTTTTTAATAAAATATTCTGAGACAAAATGGAACCATCACCTGACCGTTTTTCAAAGTTTTCGGTCCGATCTGGTTTTAAAAACCATAGCTATATATGTATTTAATTTAAACAATATTTCTTGGTCTTCTTAATCAGGAGGAGCACGAGGCAATTCTGAGAAGAAGACGAAATATGGATTCTGCAATCACTTGGGAAAAATATAGGTCAATGACTTTCACATTAATGGTGAGGAAAAGCTTACTGCATCCATCTTTTCTTTTCTTTATATAGTTGTCCAGCTATTAAAGCGTCACCTACTTTGGGCATTGATAAATTGTCATCAATAATTGAATCGATCCAAATGTCTATCAATTATTACTTTATATAATTTAGTATGAGACAATGTGCAGTTTATTATTATATGTCTAATAATGTTAAAAGTAAATAAATCAATTAATTTGGTTGGTCCAATTGTCAAGGATGGGCCGAGGGCAATAAGGTAAATTTGCTATTTGTGGTCGAGGCCGAAGTATCAAACCTGAGAATAAAAAGCCACACGTCAGAGACTCTACGTGTTATTCTAGGGGTGGAGATTCTGACGGTCAAATTAATCAAGTGTATAAGAGGGGTTGGACAAAGTCTGAGGTGAGAGCTCAGACGAGGTCACTCAAGAACAAGAGAGCTAGAGAGTAATATGGCTTTACCAGGAGAGGGAGACCCCTATTTATACTTGACCTTACCTTAGGAGTGGTTAAAAGTGGTTGGCGATGGGCGGCCAGAATTGCATCCAGCCAGTGCCACATGGCGCCATCATCCTAGGCCTTGCCACATGTGCCCATATCAGTTGGATAGCTCATTCCTAACCAAAACATATTCTATAATATTATTAATTCTCTCCAAATTAAATTTTAAATTAAATCTAATACTCTATGAAAAGATATATAGATAGGTCTATAAAGAAATATAAACTATTTACATATACCAAAACAATCAATTCAAAGAAATGATTAAATAGCTAGCACTAATGTATATTGCTTATAAAAAATGGTTGGGTCCATCATTCCACTGGCTCATATAATAAATGCATAAAAATTGATAAATATGCACAACTAATAAAAAAAAAGAACATATCTTTTGGTTTGTAATCGGCTATGAATCTGGTCAGATCCAGCTACATCTGAATCCAATCTGATTGCATTTGTAATAAATTTATATAAATATAAAATATAGAATTTATTAAATATAAACTTTATGTCATTATATATGACTTCATGTTTTAGTTTAGGGTCAAATACTTTTTATGCATACTTCTCTTAATTTGTCATCAATTATTGGGAAAAAGACATGGTTATTTTGTGCCTAATGTTTGTTTAAGCCTAATTAATTTTTAATATTTTACTTATCAAAAAATTAATTTTCAAATTTGAGAAGAAATCTATTAATTACCAATTAGGGCCAAATAAATTGGTATATTTTTGTCAACATGAAAAGTTTTGGAATGTTATATGATTCCTTCATTATTAATTTCATCTAACAAAACCCATGCATTAATTAAACGGGTGTTAGCTAACTGCAGGTGTCATAATAAATTTATCCATCTATTTATTGAAATTACAGGTTATCCATGAAGTACTTAGGTTGGCGAATATCGTCACAGGGATATTCAGAAGAGCTCTTAAAGACATCCAAATAAATGGTACTCATGATTATTACAGTAGATCTTTCTTTTTCTTTTGTTAGAATATTGCAGTTAGGGGTGTTAATTGGATTGGATTTGTTTCAATCCGATTAGGTTCAATGTGAGTCTATTATAAATGGATCGGGTCCAATTTAATCCAATGAATGTTTTAGACCAATTTGGACTGGTCTAATTCAATGTGTAGACCATCCAATCTGTTCAAATTCATTTTGATTTAGATTGGTTTCAACCCAAATCCGGTCCACTGACACATATATTCTTATCTCATATCAATGGATCAGATATTGGCTTAATCCAACCCAATCCAATATAAATTTGTTACGAACGGACCAGGTCCAACCCAATCTAATAAATATTTTGGATCGGATTGGTCCAATCTAAGATGTCTTGTTGGTCTGTCCAATCTGTTCAAATTGATTTTAGACTAGATGGGGCCCAATCCAAAACCGGTCCATTGACACCCTTAATTGCAATAGCGTCTAAATTAACCAAGAAAATCAAACCATTCCCAAGTTTATTCAATTGACATTTAATTAATTAGGTCAGATCCAAAAATGAGTATGTGTGTAAGATACAAGAGATTCTTAAAGAACCAAGGTCCATTTGATTGCAGTTGGAATTGGAATCGAAATCCTTTATAATCTGAATCAGAATCGTTAATTTATTCCCATAGTCTTATTTGGTTCAGACAAGAATTGGAATAGACCAGAATTAAGACAGTTGAAATATGAATTCATTCTCAAGAAAGGGGGTACGGGGGAATGCCATTCCACCAGGAATGGGAATGAGGTTCTAATTCCATTCAACCAAACAATTGGAATAAGAATAACCCATTCCGATTCTAATTCCAGGCCCCTATTCTTATAAAAACAAATGGGACCCAAATACTTAATTTGATTGGTTATTGAATACATAATTACTATTTCCACTACCAAGTCATAGTTTTAGATTCAAATATTAATGTATTGGTAAATCCTTGGTATGTAGGTTATACTATTCCAGCAGGATGGACAATTATGGTTTGTCCTTTTACTCTGCATTTGAATCCAAGCAAGTATGGAGATCCCCTTGCCTTCAACCCATGGAGATGGAAGGTTTGTCTTTGTGATACATAGTAGATCGATATTGTTATAAAGTCAATGGCATCATCCTCAACTTGTTCTTCTTCCTCTATCCTCAAAATTTTAATTTCTCATACATAGGGCCTTGCACAAAACACTTCAAAGAATTTTATAGCTTTTGGGGGAGGCAAGAGATCGTGTGTCGGAGCAGAGTACAGTAAGGTGGTAATGGCAGTCTTTCTACATTCCCTGGTCACTAAACATAGGTATTTCTTCTTGCCTTAAACAAGAATACTGTCTCAAGCAATGTTTTAAAAATCCATTCGGAATCAGAACCATTCTAGTCATTGATTTTTGGGTCGATGGTTCAACCATCCAGTTTAAACAAATGGCCCATTCTGACAAAAAAATTTAAAAATTCATTAAAGTAAAAATGGCCAAAAACCATTGAACGGGTTAATGATTCAACTGTCCAAATCAACAGGTTATTCACTAATTCAATAATTTTTTACTAGGAATCAAGTTTAAAATAAAACAGAACCGATTACTTGAATAACTCGGAGCAAATGGTCCAACCGTCCTGATCAACAGCAGTTGGAAACACAAACCGCTCTTAATTACCTGAGTTACGCTATAAAATTTGGCTTTGTTAGGTGGAGGATAGTCGAGGGAGGAGAAATAGTCCGAACGCCTTCTTTGTCATTTCCAAATGGTTTCCATATTCGAGTCTTAGAAAAATAAATAAATAAATGAAAGCATCCTTTGGACACGCTCTTTCCTTGCGTACTCCGTAGTAACCCTAGCTGCCCAATAAGGATGAGCGAGGATGTGTTTTTCATTTGAGAGGATTGTTAATATTCTGTAATTAATGTGGTTTGAATCATAGAGCTTCTCGGTGGGGGTGAGAATATCTTGTTGAACAAGTATCATTGATGGAATAAGCAAGTTATGATGTTGTACTTCAATTATATTATTATGTATCTGTACTACTTGGTTGATGTTAGTTGGTTACTTGGGCCTCCCTGCCCTAACTTTAATCTAATATATATATATATATATATATATATTATTTCTCTCGTTTGTGCATTTCATCCTTCATTTCACCAAATGCTTTGTCCAATCAATTTTAGATTCAAAAAGGGGTTAATGAACCATTAACAACGACTGTCAATGATATTGTAAAACGGTGTATCAAATATGTTCTGGATTGTGGATTGGTACACATCACAATGTATTGACTATTGAGTGAAACGGTTCATAGTCAAAGGGTCGGCTTCAGTCAATTCCGAAAACCGTTTAAACAGCTTTTACAGCCTTCCATTGCATTGAAAATATCTCCTTACTATATACTTTATTTTATGGGTAGATATTTCCGATAAGGGCCTTGCGAAGCCGATGAATTCCTCACGTATAACATGTAGAAATGATGTATACAGTTGATTATGAATTAAAATTCAAACTAATAACATGTTAATCATGGAAAACACTAGTAAATAATCACGGAAATCACAAAAAATTCAAACCAGACATTGTACAAAGTATTGTTAATAGTTAAACCATACCTAGTTGATAGAAACGGATGGGGGCAGTGCAATGGTGCTTCATGTGTAAGGTTTAAAGTATTGGAAACGTAACCATACTTGGTTGAGAGAAGCGGATGGGGGTAGTGCAATGGTGCTTCATGTGTAAGGTTTATAGTATCAGAAACATAATGTGTATCGGAGAGATAATTTTAAATGACGTATCGAAATACACTTAAGATACGCATGGATATGGACAAAAAGTTAAGATGCACATGAATATACTAAGAAACTCATTTAAATCCTAAAAAAAATATGTTAATTACAATAAATATGAGTTTTATATCACTATAAATAAACTATTTAAACATAAATATCCACATTTTAATGATTTATATAAAGTGTGAAATAATGAGAGATAATTGGAAACTGTTGAAAAATGACGAAAGAATTAAAATGTTTGTGTATGCATACATACCATAGTATTTAAAGAATCAATATAATTTGTATTAATATTTACCATTTAAAAAAAATAGGACCAATTGGCCTATTGGACTGTTTGGACCATGACTAGATTAGGTTAAAAATTTGCCAAAATTGCCAATCCAACTAGTCAAAATCAAAAACTAGTGAATTAGTCCTAGTTTTAGAAAAAAACAACTGATTTTTTAAATTGTTTTAGCACATTAATGCAAACTTCTAAAGGCCATAACTTTTTGCTCATATGTCCTATTACAGTAACCTTTGTTTTTATTTTGGATAACTTTTCAATATAAGTGCCTTATAAAAAATTGAAATTAAAATAAAAAGTATATGTTAAAGAATACAATTATATAATTTGAATATATTAGAATCCAATATATAATTTATAATGTTGTATATAATATATATAATATTATGTCTTCACAATTTGACCTTGGTTGAACCTCTCCCTTTTCTGGGTTGATGTCCAACCCAGTTCTCTAATTAAACATTGATATTTATTATATATTTTAATGATTAATTTTATCTTTTATTGGTAGTCATCCTCTAACAAATGAATTTAATTAAGAATTAAAATACAAATTTATATGATAAACACTTGTAGCAAATTAGTGGCATGTCAAATTCATATTTGAATTTGAACATAGCCTTAAATACACTATTCAATTTGTCTTTAACAGCGTGTTATTAAATGTGATAATTAATTAAGAGTCATTAAATTTGAATTTGAAAAGTTACTAATATTAAGAGATGAGGGAAAATAAATTTGAATTAAGAGTCATTAAATTCGAATTTGAATTTCAAGTTGTATCGGTCGATACATGCAGCGTATCAGATTGTATTGGGATTGTATCGGCCGATACGGGCCCTATCGGACCAATACTAACGAAAATAAATAAAACATACAGATTTTGTATGTTCTGTGCAAGGTTTTTAAAACTGACCCAGACAACGAACCAGTTAGGGATCCGGTTCCCAAGTCGAATGGTCTGACTATTTGAACCAAATGGTCAACTTATTCTAACAAAAAAAATTAAAAAAAAAAACAATCAAAACCATTGAACAGTTCAAACGGTTCAACCACCTGTGTCAACAGTTTGTTGAACAAATCAATGGTTTTTGGCAAAAATCTGGTTTTGGTGAAAAGCAAAACCGGTCAGGTCAAGTGACCGGTTTCCGGTTGTCCAATCGGGTCTGGTTTTAAAAACCATAGTTCCATATATCGGATTTTCAACGAAACACAACTTATTGGCCGATACATTGCAAAATTTTAAACCTTGTTCATGTGCGAGATGCTCACTTGACCCACGGTTGAGAACGGTGAGAAAAATTGGATGAAGCTACTACAAAAGAGAAAAACAAGTTCCATACATTTGTTTGGATGAAGAGCAAGAGCCAAGAGAGAACTTCACCACTCCATTCCTGTTCAAGATCATCATAATCATAATGGAAGTTCGAACAACAATGTATATTGTGAACCGAGACCATCCATGACCAACCAAACAGATTTTTCTTCTTATGGATAGATCACTTGAGGTGTTTGGGGTTATATAATTGAAATATAGGCTTTTTGATCCAACTCCCCAAGACTTAGGAATGGCAATGGGATGGGACAAGACGGGATGGGTTTTTGCATACCACGTCCCCGACCCTGAATACATCTCACCTAATTTCTAACATTATTGGTCTTGGTCAAGTATAAAAATTAAGTACTAATATAACTTAGATTATTTATATTGATTGTTGTTAAGTTTTAATTCCTTAAACTGAATTGCTATTAAGTTTTAATTTTAACTAAAATGGATTTCATGCTGTTTTGATAAGACATCTAATCTTATATTAGATTTTGTTTCAATTTATTTGGTATTATTTTAATTCGGATATAAGAGACCCGAATGTTTGCATCCAAAATGGGTCATTGAGCAACCTATGAAGCGCGTATCCAGTAGGATTAGTGCAAAAAATGGACTGAACTTGTATGCGATATGGGTCGGTACTCAGCCTCTATTGACGTGCACTATTGGTTGAAAAACGGATCATATAAAACCCTGTAAGATCATCTCTTTCACCCACGAATATAAAATGGGTCTCTCAAAACCCAATGATGTGATTAGATCAGTAATTTGTCTGCAACCCATTTTGAACCAATCCCCAACTGGTTGCCCAAAAAAACATAAAAAGACACATAAAGCTCAAACAATTCAAGTTTCAACCACAATACCATCTTTTACCTTCAATTTTTTGAGAAAGTCGATGTTAGAAACAAGGTTCAAAATATCGATACAGCGTGATATACCGGTAGGGGTGTATCGGCCTATAATGAGGCCTATTTTTTCCTTTTTTGGTTTTTTTTTCCAATTTGATTCAGACCTTAAGGGCCATCTAACCCCCTAACTAGGGTCTGACATGAAACATCCACATATTGGAAGCCACCGACATAAAACGTATGACTGATTTGTATCAAAATTTTGAACCAGAACATTTTAGTTTACTTCTTAAGCAGCTAGTTTTTGAGCGAATGCAATCCAAAATCTGAATAATGATGTAATCCCTTGGTAGATGAATCTTTCCCCCAACAACTCTCATTAACCATCTTCATTCATCATCCTTGGTCTCGATTCAGGTAATCACTTGTCACAAGATAAGTTGTCTACAAAATGAACATGACTTTGAGTATAGGATTTCATTTAGTTATTTTCAAAACATCCACTACAAGAAATAGCTCATTCAGCAAATGGAGTAGAATTTCTCAATCTACGCCTTGTCTACAAAGAGCAACGATAGAAACACCAAGGGGCTGCTTGATACCTTTGGTTACTTTGGTTACTATCCATATGTCTGGTTCTCGCAAAACCGATCCAACACATAAGACCGGCACAATTAGAGGATTCGTTCCGCATTTGGGTATTTGTCGTAAATGGGCAGAAAGTGACCCGAATGAGTTCGTCTTCTTCGACCAGAATACTTGACTCTGGTTTTGAGCCAACTTTTAGTGAGCTAATATAATCTGCGACCACTTCTTACTACCACCCTACAGGAAACTGATCGGAAATTGGATGTGGACGCATTGTCGACTGCCACGCCGTAATGTCATTGGAATCTCATCAAGTCATAGGAATATTCGTTATTTTGGTGTTTTTAATATTATAATATTTTTTTCTGGATTTCAATGAAATACTGTTGTAATAATAGTAAAAAGAGCAGATGGAGCTTATCGGTGATCGCTATTCAAACCGAAGTTGTAGTGGTGTGAAGTTGTTGCAGGAGCTCGAAATTGGGAATTACAGGAAGATGGAGGGTTGAGTTGTGCCACTTGGTCACTCTCCTTAAAACTGTATTTGCCCCCTATGGTGCAGCCAGGTAATCGCAAACCGATTGTCAAAATAAAACAGCCCACAGGCCACTGGTAGGCGTGCACCCGCTTACTAAACCTCCGCGAACCATAGAAGATTGATGCTCAAATTTCTCAAAGAAAACAAGAATGTCGAAAATGGTGTTTGTAGACTGGACCGGCCAGTACTCTTCTTATTGAGTGTTCTCAGACCCAAATGGACACAGATGTGTCCTTTCAGATAGGAGACTCTTCAGAACAGTGAACCTGTTTGAAGAAACACAAGGAGGAAGACGAGACACAAAAAGAAAACATTTTAATTTGAAATTAAATTCAAAACTGAAAAACTTCATTTAAAAAAAAATGTATAATTCAGTTAAAACAAAATGATTTAATGCATCGCGCGT